TTCCTTGGAAGGACAGGACAGGGCAAGTTTACTACATGACTATATTCCAGATATGCCCCCCCCAGGCTTGCAAAATTAAAGGTGACTCTTCTACCCCCTGTGGATGTCCAGCGTCCAAACCTGACATCCAACAGAGGAACTGCAGTCACCCCCAGCACTGAGCACAGGCAACCCACAGACTAGGCCTTCATGGCTTTTAACAGAAAACAAGCCAACAGAAAGCCACAAGAGACGTGTGACTGGTTATGAAAATGGTTACATATTCTTAGGCCAGATTTAAAAATGACATGAAATGCATTTTAGGGTCCACAGCAAAGGAAGAGTGTATGTGCACATGTGTGCTTAGGATTAATGTACAGGGGTCACTGAGGTTACAAGACCTTTATACAATGGCCTCATTTAATCCTTACCAACCCTAAGGTAGGTGTTGCCCCCATATTACAGGTGAGGAAACTGAGGTTCAAAGAATTTAAGTACCTTGCTGAAGGCTATGGGGGCATCGACAGAAGATTCCAGAACTCCTTCAGTGAGAACGTCTCTATTCCAGTTTAAGGAGTAAGAATACACTGGGATACATACGCAGGGAACACGGGTGTTCAGGAATCAGCCATGACCTGCGGCTGGTGCGGGCATTTCAAAGCCTGCAGTACGCTTTTAGGATTTATAAACAAAAGGGTTCCCCAGTTGCATGCCTGGAAAACACAGGCTCCTTCTCTCCAGGATTTGTCAGTCTTCAACGAGGCAATATGGACTACAGGCGGCCGGGAGAACATGTAAGGCAGCTTCTTTTTGAGAACATGTAGGGCAGTTTCTTTTTGAGATCTCTTCTGTTTCTTAGGATATACTTTGGAAAAGGCTGGGGTACAACTTCAAGTCCCTAAAACCAAATTCAGGATGGAAAAAAATCAGAGTCTCGTAAGTTTGGGATGCAGTTGATGGTCTTCCCCTAACTCCCCCTTGGAGTTTCCTGCATTAAATCCCAAAGTGAGTTAACCTGCTAAATGGACTGGCATCTGAGAGGACTGCCTGACATGGGTCACCACCAAAAAGCAGGACTGGAAATCAGTGGACAGAGCACTGAGCTCCGTGACCAGAGATGGGCCTGGGCACGTTACGGTTTGTGGGACTTAAGGACAAAAGAGGCCTTGAATTTCAGGCAATTCCTGAATTTCCAAGGGCTTATCCATGTAACCTGGGATCACGGGTCCCCAGTTCTGCCTGCCTTTCCCTCCACGTCAGAAGGCACAGCCCCTCATCTGCAGATGAGCAAGAAGGGACCCAGAAGCCTCAGAACCCACCTTGTAGGATGGACGGGACCCCGAGGCCGCTCGTCCAGCACGTTTGTAGAGCACACAGGTGAGCTCGGCGTCAGGCCACAGTGGGGCTTCACGAGGTGCCCTTCGTTTTCAGGCCCAGCTCTTCTCCCCACACCCGGGTTCACCTTATTTCTTAGTCAACAAAACATACTAAGTTCTCAGCATGTAAACACTGTATTGGGAAGATTAGTTTATTTCTATAATTGACATGAAAGACTAGGACGTAATTAAAACAGGGCCTCTCTGTCCATTAACGATTCCTCAGCACCCAGAACACAGCTTGGCACATAGTGTGTGCTCAATCCATCTCTGAATTAGAAACAACGGGCCATGCCGGCAGGTTGCAGGCTCCCACCAAACATATGAGTGGGCGTTTTTAAAAGCTGGCCTGACTCTGAGGGTCTCAGGGTGCTGCCGGGGGGACAGGAGAGGGCAGGGCAGGGGTGGCCAGGCAGCAGGGCCCCAGCTCTCCAGACAAAGAGAAACAAAACTCAGCGAGAGGAAATGGGCTGTCGGGCTCCTTTGTTGCACTTTCTCTGTTTCCTTTAAGGTGAACAGATGCGGGAACTGGTACGTGGGGTTTGACAGGAAATGAGATTTCCATTTTTAAATGGGTGGATTTGCGGGCAGAGGCCGCCTTCTGTCCATAGAAGCTTACACTGTATCACCGAGCTGCTCACACCCCTTTGGAAAACCATCTCTATTATAACTTAAAAAACAGCTTAGCTAGTTTTTGAATAGGTCACATTCACCAATAAAAACTGATTCGGTATCATTCTCGACCTCAAACAAAACATCTTAATAGTTATTTCTGAGAACATGCCGCCCAGTAATATCTCCATGTGACATTTAAGAAAATTCACTCCAATGCCAACAGATTCAACTTCATAGCACCATTCCAAAATACTAAACTTTCTTTGCACCTTTATTTTTATCTTTTTTGTACACATTTAAAGTATGGGCATCCTGTAAATTTCTGAAAAGCCTCATAGGAAAGAAACAACTAATTTTTAGGACAAAGCAGTAACTCAGTTTGTAGGCAGGATGATCTCAGGCGGGCTGTGAGTTCTTCACGGGCTTCTGTCGTCTTGAGTCGGGGCGGGAATGTAGGAAGGATGCTAAAGTCTTCCTGGATTACGCTAGAGGTCACGGTCACGTCAGTGCGCACACACGTGCTGCTCAATGGTCAGACTCTAGGTCTCGAGTACAACTCACCATGACAACAACAGTCTTTCGTAATGATTTTACTCTTTCGATTGACAAGTAAATGAACTGGGATATTAGATAACTTTGAAGTTTTTACACACCTTTTATTCATACTCTGTAAGAGAGCAATTCTCATAATACTGAATTCCCTCTTACAAATCTCTGTATTTGAAGCTTGGAGCTCTAAAATCTGTTCTTAGCAAGCAGATGTATTTCAAGTAGAATTATAAATGGGTTTTTAATTCAACATACATTTGGCTGATTGCTATGTAAGAAGACTAGGTAATGTAGGCGCTGATGGATGAGACTGCTTGCAGAAAATTTTTCCTTGTGACACACGAGTCACGTCTCACTCTGATTATGACCACGTGCTCTTGTCTAACTCTTCCATGTGTGACCGTGAGAAATGTGCGCCTGGATCGCGGGCCGGCGGAGGACTTGGAGTTTTGAGTGTGCGGTGATGTGAAGAGCAGGGCGGTGTGAGGAGGTAGAATCAGGAGGGTGTCCGCTAACAGCTTAATTCTGCAGCAGTTTCAAAGAGAGTGACTGTGACGCAGTAACAGTCGATGACCCAGGAAGAGAAGTTTAAATCAGAAATGACTAGTATTCAAAAGCTACTGTGCACCAGGTCAGAAGGAGTATGAGAATATTAATATGCCCTGAAATAGAAATAATCACTTTGCACTATGTACACCACATACAATATAACATATTCTTTTTAACATTGCACAATATAAATATTATACAGGGTGGAGTAACTCAATGCAAAATAACTCTGAGGCACACAGAAGGAACACGGATAGATCGAACTCTGATGGAAATTAAGACGGGTTAGTAAAAGGCAGAGTCTCACACGCAGGCCAGTGAGCTCTCGAGGCCTCACCTCCCGGGCCAGCAGCCACCTCCCACGTACACTGGAAACTCTCACACCCCAATGCTGCTGGAGTTGATTGCTTCAGACAAAGGCTAATTAGCTAAGTAATCTGAGAAAGTCAAACTGTTGCTCCCCACTCTAAAGCAGGTAATCCCTAAAGGTCCCTCCCGACCTCACGGTTTCGTCAGGAGGGACTTGGTTAGTACACGGCTGTATTTCCCTCTATCTTGTCAATAACTCGGTTACTATGAAACCAGTTTAAGGAAACTAGAACAGTATTCAAGAACACCCATCACAGTGCTTAACAAGATTTAATGTACATTTATTCTTAACATGTGGAACATATAAAGATTTTATACTGAATAAATGATATTCATTAAGCCAGAGGAAAAGGAGGAATTTACATCAAGATTTTTTTCTTTGTTAAACTACATTATCTTGAAATACAAATGTGGATTCTTGTCACTGAAAAACCTTTGAAGTTGTATTTCTTCCTTTGAGTTGTATTTTCTCTTTTTGTCTGTACTGTGACCATTTTCTAGATCAATCCATAGGCAACCTTGATTCATGAAGCAAATGGTGATCAGCTGCTCTCCCGAAACGGAGCACGGCTTGAACATACAGAAACTTGTACATTACCCTCTTTTTTTTTTGTTTTTGTTTTTTGTATTTTTTCTTTTTTTTTTTTTTTGGAGATATGGCCCTAATGAAAAAATATATAAAATAAAAATAAAAATTATTTAAAATCTACCATCACTTTGTAGTTACCACATCATGAAAAAGAAACGAAAAACTTTGTACTAAAAAAAAAAAAAGAAAAAAAAAAAAGAAAAAAGGAAAGAAAAAACGAGGGTATGTTTAATGTACAACTTCTATATACATCACGGCCCATAGGCAGTAAAAAAACGATTTAAAAAATGACGAAAGGAATTGTGAAGGACTGTCCGGCGGCCAGGGACAGACAGCAGACGCGACGGGAGTGGCGAGGAAGCAGCTTCCCTCGACGGTTGGCAGGCGCGCAGCTCCAGCCTTAAGGGGACAGGTTAGTTTCGCTCGGGCCTAACGCACCTTCCTGTGGAGAAGCCGGTGTCTCTTCGGTCGGACTCCTGACCAACCTCCTTGAGCCCCTGCACCTACACCTCCAGCAGTTCCTATTGCACAGAGCTTGGGCCACGGGATACAGGTGCTTCATCGCCTGGAGGAGAACTCGCCTGGATAGTGACCATTTCTCACCTTTTTGCCTCAGTGGGGTGAAATTTTCCCATCTTAGCATCTTTTTGCCACAACTTTTTTCTGTAAAGTCAATTTGCTTCCCCCAAAATGCAATACAACATGGAAAAGAAAGAACATTAAAAAGAAAATCTGTGAAAAACAAAAAGTGACCTTTGAATGCACTGGACAGTAACTTTGGTTAAAAAAACGAAAACAAAATAAAAAAAACCCCAAACAGATGTACTTATACACACAGACAGCAAATACTAATTTCATAACTGTTCGAATTAATTATTTCTTTAATTCCCAATTGGTAAATAGTGAGTGGGGCAGAGGAGCCGAGATCGTCTTCCCTTCTCCCGACGGGAGCGGCGGCCGGCCGCTCGCGCCTGCTCACGGGGGTCATAACTGCCCGATCTGGAACAGAACGTCACAGACGACGGAGGCCACCAGCGAGTTCAGCACGGCCGAGATGGAGATGTCCAGCAGCCGGCCCTCGTGCAGGAGGAACTCGGAGCGGTTCTCGTCCACCCGCGCCATGGCCAGCAGCGCCTTGGCCGCCCGGCACATCATGTCCACGCTGGGCGGCTCGAGCGGCGGCGGCTGCATGTGCATGAGGTTGTGCTGGCTCTGCTGGTACTGGGCCATCGTGACCCCGTCCTCCAGGAAGCTGATCAAGTTCCCGATGCTGCCCTTCTGCACCGCTATCGCCCGCGCCGCCAGCGTGTCCCCTTGGGCAAGGTTCGACAAGAGCGCCATGGACATTTCTCGGCAGACCGGGTTCTTGCGGTCCCCAACGTACCTGACCAACGTGGCGTAGAACTTCTCCTGCCGGCTGAAGGGCGGCGTGGCCAGGATGAGGTCCACGTTGCTGTCCTGGATGCTGAGCTTGCAGAGGGTCTCCAGCACGAGCCTCTGCGGCGACAGCACGGAGTTGGGGCCCACCGTGGGGAAGGGGTCCTGCGCCTCGGCCGACGGGCACACCATCCAGTGCAGCAGCCCGTCCAGGATGGGCAGGCAGATGCTCTCCGTGTAGGCGGACAAGTCCAGCTGCCCGGAGATGTTGGCCAGCGTGACGAGCGTGTTGTCCCGCAGGACCTCGAGGCAGTCCCACCACCACTCGTCCTTGCTGCAGGCCACCCCCTTGTCCTCGCCGTCCTCCTTCTCGTAGGTCTGCGGCGCCCGCTTCCGCTCGGGGTGCTCGTGGTGGAGCAGGATCAGCTTCCCCAGGATCAGCACCAGGCCCGGGTGCTTGGACATCTCGGCGTCGTTGCCGGGCACGAAGGACAGGCTGCGCACGATGTTGGAGACGCAGATGCAGCGGCGCGCCAGGGCGTCCTGCCAGTGCGCCACGGTGCACAGCGGCGCCTCGTCGCGGCTGCGCGGCTCGTCCTCCAGCAGCCGGATGTGGCGCCGGCCCTGCGCCTGGCGGATGCCGAACGGGA